ATGGTTAAGATGATACCCTGGCCAGATAGCTTAGTTGGTCACAGCATCGTCTTGATATACCAAGGTTGCAGGCTTGATCCCCCAGTCAGGGCACATATAAGAATTCACCAATGAATTCATAAATAAGTGGAACAACAAATTGATGCTTCTCTCACTCCCTTCCTCTCTCTCTCTAAAAATAAATAAATAAAATAATTTTAAATAAGGATGTAGGATGAAGAATGGTAAAAATTACATCACTTTCACTACCACTGCCACGTGTACAACATCTACTTTATGAATGATGGCTTATGTTTTACACTTTTGAGACTCAACCTCTCAAAAATAGAAATGTAGTAACATGATAGGGAAGGATGTATATTTATAAGAAAAAGGAAAAAGGCAAGCCAACCTAACAAACAAATTACACCAAAACAGAGCCCAGGGGTTTTCCCTGTAGTAGCACCGTGTGCTTCCAGTAGGGGTGTGGCCTCCTTAACATCTTATAGTCCTTTAAGCTGTTGTTGACATTCCTTACTCTTTGGAAACAATGTCAAGGGGCAAATCAAAACCTAATATTGAACAAGGGAAGGGAGTGCCAAGCTGATGCCAAAGTCCTTTTGGTCAGCATGACGGTGGGAGCTTTGAGAAGCTGTTGGGGCCACAGCAAGGTACCTTGACCCTGGAATGATTCAGTATTTGTGTGTACTGAGAAACGATCACCACAATAAGTCTAGTTACCATTCATCACCACACACAGTAACCATTAAAAAAAATATTTTGATCTGAGCTGTCAGTGTAAGAAACATTCAAGTCTGTGAAGAATTTTTGTGAGTTTTTTTTTTGTTTGTTTGTTTTTTGAGCCAGTGTGGACAACTGCCAGGAAGCACTATCTCTGAGATAATGGCAGTTTTGCACCTTGTTTGATACAATACAAAGAGGAAACCTAAGTGGGTGACATGAAATCCACTGGCCATAGGTTAGGGAGGTGGGAGAAAGCAGAGCGGGGGAAGGGGCCTCTGGGATTGGATAAAAAGTGAAATGATAGACACATGCTCCTTTTACTGAGATGGCTATAGGATAGTTAACAGTTAACTCAGTTAACATGAGCGGTGCCTGTGCTTTGAGGGGTCTGGAAAAAGGAACATTACTTTGTCGTTCTCGTGATATGTTATCGTAGAGGCAAAAAGACAATGGACAGGCTCAGGGCCGATAAAGGCTGACCTTTGTCAGGGAAAGTGCTGGCCTAGGACATCACTACCCACCCTCAACTGCTTTTGGTTAAAAAGTTTTAATTTCAGACCATCCTTTGTGGTTACGTTAGGTCTCTGAGTTTGTCAGGTTAGCTTGTGGCTCCTTTTCGTCCACAGGGCTTTTTAAAAATTTTTTTTTAAAATTTCTTTGATTAAGGTATCACATATTTGTCCTCAACCCCCCATTCCAATCCTCCCAGCCCCCTATTGTCCTCACCCACTGGTTAGGCCCATATGTGTGCACATAAGTCCTTTGGTTGATCTCTCCCTTTTATCCCCACCCTCCCTTTGAGGTCCAACAGTCTGACCCATGGCTCCTTATCTCTGGGTCTGTTCTTGTTCGTCAGACTATGTTGTTCACCATTTCCCCTAGAGGAGTGAGATCATGTCCTATTGGAAATATACTTATAAGAATCAAAAGTGAGACGAGCAATCATCGTTTTGCTGAAAGGCATATGAATCAGTCCGTAGAGAGTTTCTTTCTGGGCCACAAGGCTTTTAAGATCTGTTCTCCCAGCAATACTCTCAAGTATTGTTAACTACAGTCACCTCGCTGGACACTTCGTCCCCGTGGCTTGTTTTGTAACTGCAAGTTTGTATCTTCTGACCACATTCACCCAATTCCCTCCACCCCTGCCTCTGGCAACCATCAATTTGTTCTGTGTGTGTATATGTTGTTTTTGTTTGGATTTCACATGTAAGGGAGATCATATGGTATTTATTTTTTGTGTCTGAGTTATTTCACTCAGCATTTCATCCGTGTTGATTGCAAGGGGCGAGAGTGTTAGCTCATCGTAGACCCCATGTTCTCAGAGACCAGAGGAGGGAGGCAGGGATGTATTCTGCCGGGCGGAGAAGGCACGTTGAGCCGTTCCTCTGTCGCGGCCTCGTCTTTGCAGTGAAGTTGGAGGCTGTGGAGGGGGGTGTGGAGGAAGTGGGGGTAGCTACAGCTGTGGAGAATGGCAGTTAGAGATGAAATCTGCGTGGCCACGTGGCCTCGGTTGAGTCGCCCCGGCGTGTTGGGCCAGGTGCCCTCCCCCGCGGCAGGACCCAGGTGCCATGCAGGCCTTCCTGGAGCGTGTCAGGTTCAACATGTGGCCCCTTTCCCCATCCACAGTGCCAAGCAGCGAGCACGCTGCTGCTTCACTCTCCTTATCTCACTTGTCCCCTCCTCACCCCACTCTGAGATAGGCTTTGCCACCCTTGGTTGACAGAGGAGAAAAAGGACTGGCTTGCTAGGGAAGGAAGAGAACCTGTCCAAGGCCACCCGCCCAGCCGGCATCTCGCCGAGGGCAAGGCTCGAAGGCTTGGCTCCCCAGAACCCACAGGGACTGCCTGGGGCCTCAGAGGAGCTGCCCAAAGGATCATTATTTCCACCGCCATGGCCTGTGCTCCCCACAGGGCTGCTCTGTGTGTGTGTGTGTGTGTGTGTGTGTATGTGGGGGGGGGTGGCAGAAGGCGGGGGGGGGGGGGATCAGCCTTTAAGAGACTCCCTCACAGGAGATGACCTTCTCTCTCAGACAAGACAGCAGGGGGCAGAGGAAGGGAGAGCGACGGGGGGGGGGGGGGGGGGGGGGGGGTGGGAGGGGTGGCAGGGCCGGAAATGGTTCTTTAGGAGGCAGTGGGGGCGGCAGTGGTGGGAGGGGCAGCAGATTCGGTTTAGTCTTTGAAGTCAGTGGGGGGTGGGGAGAGAGCCGGAGGGGTGGGGGGAAGCCGATGCCTAGTCAGTCACCAGATCAAGGGAGATTGGCCTCGGGCTTCTGGGGGAGGAGGTGGGGAGCATAAAGCCAGCTACCCGCCCTCCCTCCCGGAAGCTGGAAGTGAGCACCCACCAGGACGAATGGGGGGCTCATTTGGGGTTGACAGGTCCCTGATTGAGGGCACTTGGAGGTTGTTTCTATCCAAGTGGCTGCAAAGCCCTCATGCCCAGCCCCAGGCCAGGCGGGAGAGACCAGACTCTGGAACCAGGGAGAGAGGCAGGACTGAGGTGCCCTTGAGGCTTCAGCGGGGGGTCTCTGCGGTCTCCCTACAGGAGGAGGCTGGGGTGGGGGTGGGGAGGTAGGCCCACCGGGGCAGACTTCAAGGTCAAGAACTCGTGGACCTCGTGATGGGGAAAATGAGGCATTTTGGGGGGTTAGCGATCTGAATCTGTGCCGGGAACCGAATGCACATTCTTGTTAGCCACTGTCCCTTCCTTCATTATCTGATCTTACGAGACCTGTTTACCTAAGTACTGCTCCTATGTCACAGAGGCCATAAACTATGAGCAATGCACCACCCCCAGACGGCGTTATCGGTTCTGGCACTAGGCCAGGCCTGTAGGCGTGGTCTCTCTGGTTCCCATGCGGGGCTTTTTGCAAATCCTGTGAAAGGCCCGGAAGTGTCATCCATATCTGGGGGACAAAGAAACCAAAAGGGCCGAAACCGGTTTGGCTCAGTGGTAGAGCGTCGGTCTGCGGACTGAAAGGTCCCAGGTTCGATTCCGGGCAAAGGCATGTACATTGGTTGCGGGCACATCCCCGGCAGGGGGTGTGCAAGAGGAAGCTGGTTGATGTTTCCCTCTCATCGACGTTTCTATCTCTCTCACTCCCTTTCTCTCTGTAAAACATCAATAAAATATATTAAAAAAAAGAAAAAAGAAAACAAAAGAGCTCCCTCCGTGTTGGCTTGCTCAGGATTTGGGGAGAAACAGTCTCCCCTGGGTCACGGTACTGGTACATGAGAAACAACACCTGAAAATAAATGTTTTTTCCTGTTCCCTCCGGTGCTCCTGAGCGTTCTTTGGTCGCCTGGCAAATCCTGTAACACCAGGATTTCTTGGTGCTTCCTGTGAGGGCACAAGTTTGGCGGGAGCAGTTTTCTAACAAGAATGACCATTGGAACCCGAGCACCTTCAGGGCAGGAGTGGGCTGGCCTCGGGCCACACTTCTCACCCCTTCCGGCCTCTGAGCTCAGGGAGTCGGCTCGTTGTTGGACCGGCTGGCTTTGGCAGCTGTTGCATTTTTTATCTTTGAGGCACCTGCAGTGCCACGTCTGGAGATCTCAGTTTGAGGGGTGAGATGAGAGAGGAGGCTCAGGGCCCGGGGGACCCCGAACTTGGCGCAGCTCCAGCGGGGGGCTTGGTTGGCCCCTGGCTCGCACCTCCCCTCAGCTGCTGCCCCGAGGCACTCACGTGCCCGATGCCGTTCCCGGGGCCCCGCTGTGCGGAAAGCACCCCTGGCATTGCCCATAAACGCTCACAGCGCCCTCTAGCGCTGGTGACAACCACACATTTCAAATGCTCCCGGGAGGCGGGTGGTACCGGGCCCTCTTCAGTCTCTGGGAAGCGACTTCCGCTCCCGCCAGTCTTTTCCTGGCCCGGAAACAGAGACAGGGAAGTGGGGGCCACACGTCGCTTGTGATAGGAAAGCTCCTGAGCGGGAGAGAGGAGAGAGAGGCCATGCCAGGAGGGCTGGGCAGCGGGCAGGGGTGGGCAGGACAGGAAGTGTGGAGGGCCTCCCCGGCCAGGAGTCCTGGGTATTATCACTTAGTCTTTAATAAAGGACTGAGAGGGAGGCTGGGGGTAGGTCCAGGAGCCTGGCTGGGGAAGAACAGAAACACTGAGCCGGGAGCTGGGCGCGGAGGTCCGAGGATGGAGCAAGGCATGGCCTCCAGGACCTGGCTGCCCCTTCCATCAGCAGCGATTGCAGAGTTGAGAGTGCAAAGGGTACCTGCCCCTCTGGGCGGCTAGTGGTGGTGGTGGTAGGCAGCCGGGCTCCTGCGGCCCCTCTATCCCCACATGGTTATCTGCAGCCACTGCAGGGAGAGATTCAGCAGATCTGAGGGTGGCGGTGGGGCAGGGCTGCTGAGGAGAGCAGAGGGCAGGGGGAGCCAGGGCTGGGGGTGCCGGAAGCTCTCTCCCATGTACCTCGTTCAGGTTCAAATTGATGTGGCCAGTATTCTTGGGGTCCATCGTTAGAAAGTATGCTGTTTAGGGAAGAGGGGACGGGAGAGGGTTGAGCTGAGCCAGTGGCTGTACCTGCAAAACCACTCCCAACCAGGGAGGGTGCAGGCAGCTGCCCCCGCCTACCCCAGCCCAGCGGGGATTCATGACAGGAACTCACAGAGCCTCGCTCTGAGCCAGGGCCCGTTCTGAGCGATCTCCACACACACACACACACACACACACACACACACACACACACACATCTCGGTACCTTCATCCCGTGGGGCAGGGCCATCATTATCCCATTTTGAAGGCAAGGCCATGGAGCCACAAGAGAGAAAGTGACTTGCTCAAGGCCCAAAGCCAGCAAGTGGGGGAGCTGGGAGGTGACCCCACCCTGACTGTGCCCCGTAAGTGGAGGGGGGGGGCAGGGCAGCAGTGGAACAGCTTTCCGGGTGGGGGAATGTGGGAGAAGGCCAGCAGAGCCGCCCAGGGTGGGGAGCGGGCGGGCGCTGACTCACAGAACATGGCCTTCAGCCTCAGGAAACAGCTGATGAAGCTGTCGAAATCCACGAGCATGTCGTCGTTGGCATACCTGGCCACCATCACCTGCGTCACCCTGTTGTTCACCTTGATGCCTGGGAGGCAGAGGCGCGCAGAGGAGAGTCCGGCCCGCTGTCCGCCGCCTCCCTCCTCCCTGCCCCGAGGCCCCCTCCTGACCCCAGGCCACCTGCTTTCTCGATCGCCAAGCGCATCTCATAGGAGTTCAAGGTGCCCGAGCTGTCCTGGTCGCATTCTTCAAAGATGTCCTGAAAGGACACCCAGGTGAGGGAGGGCGTGTGCGTGGGCACCAAGGCTTTGGTCCGGTTGGCTCACAGCTGCTACCCAGGACCCTAGGGGCTCCCTGGCCTGGCTCATCCCCCGAGAGCCCACTGTTCCTGTCTCCTGGTGACGGGCAGGGTGAGTTCCAGGCCCAGCGGGGACTTGGCACCCTGCCAGGGCTCTCTGCGTGTTTGACGCCAACACTGGCCTGTTGAGTGGGCGTGTGTGCCCATGCGTGAGCGTGTGTGCATGCGTGTGTCTACTCAGAAGCTCCGTTCTAGCTTCATCAACACTAGTCCCATCCCTCTTGTGGACCTCCCTTTCTTTCTTTTCTTTTCTTTCGTTCGTTTGTTCTTTCTTTCTTTTTTTAAAATATATTTTATTGTTTTTTTTTACAGAGAGGAAAGGAGAGGGATAGAGAGTTAGAAACATCGATGAGAGAGAATCATCCATCAGCTGCCTCTTGGACATCCCCCACTGGGGATGTGGCCGCAACCAAGGTACATGCCCTTGACCGGAATTGAACCTGGGACCTTTCAGTCTGCAGGCCGATGCTCTGTCCACTGAGCCAGACCGGTTCCCGGCATGACCTCCCTCTCTTGAGGACCATCCCTCTTGATTGTCCCCCGCCCCCCATCAAGTGCCCTCTCCATGCCCGTTACCGTCCATTTCTTGATTTTTTTCCACAGGAGATGGAACTCCCGAAGCCCTAGCTTGCCAGAGCCATCTTTCTGGGGGGTGGTCAAGGATATCTGAGAAGACAGTGGCGGGGGAGGGGGGGAGTGCATCCTGGGGCCAGGGAAGCAGAGGGACTCAGGGAGGTAGGGGAGGCGTAAGATAGGGGAGTCCTGATGGTAAGAGCCAGAAGAGCTGGCGTCATTGGCTACCCCAGAGCCTACTCCCCGTCACAGGGAGGGCATGGCTGGCCTGAGAGGCAGCCTCATGGGGGACCAGGCTGAGGGGCGGGGGGGATTGGGGCAGGAGAGCCCTGGACAGGACCACCCGCTGGGCAGGCAGATACGTCCATGATGTTGATCATGCAGCGGCACACATCCACGCCGAAGCCGTTGCTCTTGAAGTTTCTGACTGTGAGGGGGGAAGGCGTGAGTGGGGGAGGGGGGTCCAGGTGGGCTGTGCTGCAGGGGAGCGGCCGGGAGCGGTGGGCCTGGAAGACTCACGTTTGGAGATGACCCTGTTGAGCAGCCTTTGGAGCTCATACATGCCTATCTCCTTGTCCTAGGAAGGGGAACCGTCAACCCCGGTGAGCCGGCAGCCCAGCCGCCGCCACCAAGCCCCCGGCCCCGGCCCCGGCCCTCACCTCTCCTCCTGACACGATTTCAAACAGATGCTTGAAGTCCGGGTCTATCTCACTCTCAGAGATGACCTCCTGCAGGAGAAGGAATGGGAAAGGAACCCAGTCCAGAAAGTTCCTTCTCACCCACCAGAGGCTTCCTCCCACCCCACAACCCCAGTGCCTCCCTCACCTCTTTTTGTAAAAGATACTTTTATTGATTTCAGAGAAGGAGGAAAAGGGGGAGAAACATTAATGATAAGAGAGAATCATTGATTGGCTGCATCCTGAATGCCACCCCCCCCCCCCCCCGCACACTTGTGGGTCGAGCCCGCAAGCCGGGCATGTACCCAGACCAGGAATTGAACCGTGACTTTCCTGGTTCATAGGTCAATGCTCAGCCTCTACGCCACACGGGCCGGCCGCCCCCCTCACCTCTTGGAGTATCTCGGCATAGTTGGCTTCATCCATTTCCCTGGGCGAGAGTGAAGGAAGCTCGGGGTCAGCAGGGGTCAGGGAGACAGGGACCTCAGGGGGGGCGGGGGTGGGAGGGGAGTCCGCTCATACATCTGGAGCAATATGGAACGGGCTCATGGCAGCTGTTCTGCTTCTGCCACTAGTGGGGACTTCCCCGCCTGTGCCTCAGTCTCCCCGACTGTAAAACAGGGACAGGGATGGGGGGGGGGCAGATGACTGCTCCCTGAGCTTGATATCTTATAGCTCTCTCTTTTTGTTGTTGTTAATCTTAAGGATATTCTTTTCATTGATCTTCAGAGAGAATGAAAGGGAAGGAGGGAAGCAGGGGTGGGGGGGCAGAGACAGACATCAATGTGAGAGAGACACATCAATTGATTGCCCTCCCACCCTGCCCCCGAGCCTTGATGGGGGCCAGGGGTCGAACCCGCAATGCTCTATTCGTTGGGCAGCACCAGCCAGGGCAGCTATCTTACAGCTCTTGAGCGGGTGGCCGGGAGCAGCAAGGCACCTGGGGCCCCTCACCAGGACTCGCTGTGCTTCTCAGTGAAGACCCGGAGCAGGAAGTCGGCGTCCTTGTGCTGCTCGAAGGTGGAGGGGATGATGATGTATTCCCCCGGGGGCAGCTGCAGGTGGCTGCTCACCTCCCGCGCATTGGTGAAGACCTCTGAGAAGCCATGGTCCGGGTACTTCAGGAAGAAGTCCTTCTTCAGGTGAATATCCTGGGTGTCCTGCAACTACACGTGCCCTGGAGGTGGTACCGGGCTGGCCTGGGGCGGGGGGGGGGGGCGCCTGGGAGAGAGGGGCCTCCAGGGAGAAGCCTGGCTGGGCAGGGTTTCGGGGAGACATCCCCACCAACTGACCGGTTCTGGATACCACAAGCCTGGTGGTGACCCTGGAGTGACCTCTCTTTCCCCTGACTTCCACCCAGGGCCTGAGGGGGCTGGAATCCTAACCCCGTGGCCCCCAGAGCCCTTTGCCAAATTCCACCCTTGGCCCCTCCACATGCATCCTGGCCAGCATCAAGCCCACATCTTCTGTACCTCCGGTGGGACCTGAGAAGGGAAGAGAGAGGAGGGTCAGGTCCCCAGGGCAGTGAAGGGGCTCCAGCCTTTGGAAGCCATGTGAGAGGTGTGCATAGTGTGCATTGTGTGTGTGTGTGTGTGTGTGTACTCACATGTGCGCCCATGTGTGTTGGCAGGGTGTGTTAAAGGCACCAGGGACTAGTGATGGGGTGAGGCATGGGTTCTGTTAAAAGTTTTAGTGTCGCCGAAACCGGTTTGGCTCAGTGGATAGAGCGTCGGTCTGCGGACTGAAAGGTCCCGGGTTCGATTCCGATCAAGGGCATGTACATTGGTTGCGGGCACATCCCCAGTGGGGGGTGTGTGGGAGGCAGCTGGTCAATGTTTCTCTCTCATCGACTTTTCTAGCTATCTATCCTTCTCCCTTCCTCTCTGTGGAAAAATCAATAAAATATATTTAAAAATAAAATAAAAGTCCCAGTGTTGCCCGTCAAGGGCACATGCCCAGGTTGTGGGCTCCATCCTTAGTGGGGTCGTGCAGGAGGCAGCCAATCAATGACTCCCTCTCATCGTTGATGTTTCTCTCCTTCTCTCTCTGAAATCAATAAAAATATATTATTAAAAAAAACAAAATAAAAGCCCTAGCGTTTATAAGCACTCAGCTTCAGCCAGCAGAGCATTGGTACCGCTGGCACAGTTTTGCCAGGAGGAGAGCTTTACCGCTGCAGGTCAAGGGCAGGAAACAGCCCCCACGGGGTGAGGTAGCTTGCCCAGGGCACACTGCTCAGACTTGAAGGAGCTGGGCTGAGAGTCGAGAGAGCATTTTCTTCACCAGGAGCGGCTCCTGCTGCCCTGCAGCAAGCCAGCGAGGGCTGAGACACTGAGCGTGCACACCGATTGATTCATTGGTGAAAAGGTGAGGTCAACTGAGATCAGCAGGCCGCTCTCTGGCTGGATGGCCAGACCTTTGTGTGCTGAGGGCGCTGGAGCCCGGCGGTGGGTGGGGCAGGGCGTAGCGTTCCTCTGAAAGGAGTGCCTCTAGCCTTGGAAATGCCTGGACTCAGGTGTGTCTGTTAACCTGATAGACCCAGCCTAGCGGACCACCTGGCTTGTGTCCGGTTTGAACCACTGGAGGCTGGGATGGGGCTTGGTGCACTCGGTCAATATGTGAGTGAACAAATGGCCATTTCTGATAGATCCTCCCTTCCTCCAGTTGATGGACAGATGTAAACCCCACCTGCGGCCAGACATTCGTGAGCACTGAACCACCAATCAGCACTTGCCAAATACCCTGAGCCCCCCTCCCCCCCCAATTCCTAAGTCCCTAGGTCCCTAATCATAGGCCTTACATAAAACCACCAATCAGCGTGTGCTGAGTGCCCTAAGCCCCATCCCCTCTCTTTCCTCCCCTTAAAAGGTGCATGAACCCCGGCTTGCTCTCTCTCTCTCTCTCTCTCTCTCTCTCTCTCTCTCTCTCTCTGGAAGCAGCCGGCAGTGGCACTCTTCTCTTCAATAAAGCCTGTGTCCTGCAATCCCGGTCTCTGGCCCCTACTCTATTTCATCTTTCAATTCCTAAGATTTTGCAAAGCGTGGTTTGGGAGAGATGTGTCGGGGATTTCTCTTGATCGCTGGGGTCAGTGCTCCTGCTGGGATTTCTGGGGGAGGCTTGGGGGGCTCATGCCAAATTGTCTGGGAACCAGGACACAGGTTCTGCTGCTGCTGCTGTGGGGAGGTGTGAGCTTGGGCAAGTGACCTCAGCTCTCGCTTTCTGGCCCTCAGTTTCCTTCCTCTTCACAAAAGGCGTGACTGTTCACAAGGCCTTGGGGAGGGTGCCTGCCTGGTACAAGGGAAGTGCTACCTACGTGTTTTAGATAAAACAGTCTGTCAAAGGAAGCAGCTGGCCCTGCCTCAGAAGCACAATGCACGGACTCCAGACAGGGCCTGGGCCACGGAGCCTTGGGGGGAGGCCTGCTCCCGGTGAGGCCCGGGGCGGGGATGGAGCGCTGGGGGGCCTCGCTGGGGGAGCAGAGCAGCTGGGGGGCCCCGCTGAGGGAGCAGAGCAGCTGGGGAGCCCCACTGGGGGAACAGAGCAGCTGGGGGGCCCCGTTGGGGGAACAGAGCAGCTGGGGAGCCCCGCTGGGGGAACAGAGCAGCTGTGGGGGGGCCCGCTGGGGGAGCAGAGCAGCTGGGGGGCCCCGCTGGGGGAGCAGAGCAGCTGGGGGCCCCGCTGGGGGAGCAGAGCAGCTGGGGGCCCCGCTGGGGGAGCAGAGCAGCTGGGGGCCCCCGCTGGGCACTTACCTTGTAGAGGACGAAGCCGATGGTGAGCAGTGGGGTGCCCTGGGGCCGCGCCTGCCGCCAGTTCTTCTGCATCAGGGCCACCAGGCAGGTGCAGACCACTTCGTCCTCGTCCAGGTCGTCGTCCTCCTCGGGCAGAGAGATCCGGAACTGGGGGTTGGTCCAGAACGTGTCTGTGGAGGAAGCAGGTCGGGATGGCTCTGCCCTTCCTCCCAGGGTTCCCTGGCTTCCCAGCCGCCCGCCTGCCTCCCCAACAGACCCAACGGGGGGCCCCCGGCCTCATGGTGGATGAAGCCTGACCCTGTGACCCCGGGCCCCAGGCAGGGCTGCGCGGTGAGTCGGCGGCCCCTCCCGGGCCCCCGGCACCCACCGGTGTGGTTCCTGCAGCCGCCCGCCGTGCTGCCCCGCCGCCAGCTGCCCTCGTAGAAGGTGGTGTGCCAGCTGCTCTTGCAGTCGCCCAGGAGCACGTCGGGCATCAGGCTGCAGATCTCCAGGCAGGTGAAGTTCTTCAAGAAGTCTTGGTAGGACATCCTGCAAAGGAGGGGTGGACGCCGGAGCCCATCACCGGCGCACTCACACACCCGTGGGGCCCCCCTTTCCCAGGACCCCCACATCCACCACCCCGTGGCGGGAAGGGGAGAGAAGATAGGGGACTCGGGGGAGGAAAAGCCCATCAGGCCTTCACTGACCAGAACTCCCCATCCTCCATCCTGTGCAGCAGCTGCTTCTGAATGTTCGAGGGCACCTCTTCCCACTCCCTGGAACTGGAGCGGAGACGGGCGGTGAGGCGGGCAGGAGGCACCTCCTTTTCTCCCGGACTCACTCCTGAAGGCCTGCCTCCTGGGGGGTCCCAAGTTATACAGAGGATCTAGAGGTCAGGGGTGCGCCTGGGTGTGCCCACGGGTCCCCCCGTGGCGTGGCCTTGCTCGTGGGCCCGCCGTGTGCTCTACCCCTCGCCGAAGGCACTGGCCAAGGGCACGTACTTGTCACTCCAGGCTCCGTTCCACTCCATGCGGCCCCAGGGGTTCCGGACCCGAATGAGGGTTTCCGTTTTGCCTTGGTAGGGGACCTGGGCGGGGAGTGGGTCAAGGTCAGGGGCCTGGGGGCAGCAGGGAGTTGTTTCTTCCCGTGCCCCTCAGGTAGCGCCCCGTGGTCAGACTCACATCCCGGAGGCCGGTCACCGAGTAGGCGTGTCCCTTCACCAGCATCCTCATGGTCACGGACTCTAGCTCGCTATCGCTGGTGATCTACAGAGCAAAGAGGAAGGAGAGGGATTCGGGGTCTGGGCAGAGGGACTGGGGGGCTGAAGACAGAGGTCCTTTCTTTAAGATTATACTTTGCATTTTCAAAGAACTGAAGGTTCCCATGCAGCTCTCTGTGAGACACAGCACAGAGAGACCGCATGCGCCCGCAGCCAGTTTCCCCTGCCTGTGACCTCTCACAGAGCTGCCGCTCAGTATCAAAACCAGGATGTTGGTGTGGCTGCAATTGGTCACTTTTATACAGATGCCCTCGCTTTTACTAGTACTCAGGTGTGCGTTGTAGATCGTTGTATCACGTGTGTAGTTTCGTGTATCCACCACCAGTCGTGATAGATTTCCGTCCCCCAAACACCTCTCTTGTTGCCCTCTGTGACCTCTTCTTGCCACTCTCCTCCCTAACCTCTGACAACCTCCAAACTCTTCTCCATTTTTCATTTGTCATTCCAAGACTGTCATATAAATAGAATCACACAGCATGAAACCTTTTGGGATTGTTGATATATATATATATATATATATATATATATATATATATATATATCAACAATATAAAACACACTAGACTTTAGAGAGGAAGGAAGAGGGAGAGGGAGAGAGAAACATCAGTGATGAGAAAGAACCATAGATTAGCCTGACCGATGTAGCTCAATGGAGGTCAGAGTTTGATTCCTGGTCAGGGCACATGCCCGGGTTGCAGGCTCAGTCCCCAATGTGGGGCATGTAGGAGGCAGCCAATCAACGATTCTCTCTCATCATTGATGTTTCTATCTAGCTCTCCCTCTCCCTTCTTCTCTGAAATCAATAAAAAAATATTAAAAAAAAAACAAAAAACAGAATCATAGAATCATTGATCAGCATCCTCCTGCACAACCCACACTGGGGATTGAGCCCGCAGCCCTGGCATGTGTCCTGACCAGGAATCAAACCCTGATCTCCTGATTCATAGGTTGGTGCTTAACCATTGAGCCATGCCAGGCCAGCCAGGGAGATTTTTTTTTTTTTAATTATTATTATCATTCAACATAATTCCTTTGAGATTTGCCTAAGTTGTTGCACATGCCAATAGTTCATTTTTGAAAATCCTCACCTGAGGATATATTTTTTTGTTTTGTTTTAGAGGGAGGAGAAGGGAGAGAAACATCAATGTGAGAGGAACACTGATAGGTTGCCTCTCCCATGCGCCCGGACCAGGGATTGAACCTGAAACCTAGGTATGTGTCCTGACCAGGAATCAAACTCACAACCTTTTGGTGCGTGGGACGACGCTCCAACCAAGAGAGCCACCTGGCCAGGCTAGTTCGTTCTTTCCTTTGACTGCCGAGTAGTGCTCCGTGGTGTGTGCACCGCTGTCTAACTATTCACCCTTCGAAGGACACCTGGGTTGTCTCCAGTGTCTGCCTATTCTGAATGGCGTTTCTATTCACATTTGTGTCCAGGCATTTGTGTGAACATGCCTTTATTTGTCTGCGGTAAATGCGCAAGAATGCAATTGCCGAGTCAAGCGGCAGCACTCCAGGTTCACTTGTGCAGCGGAGCTAGTATTTGTTGAGTAGCTGTTGCATACCAAGTGCCATGCAAAGGCCTGGGACCAGGCAGTGCATGAGACCTAGAAGTCAGTGCCTTCATGGAATGTGAAAACTGCCTGGGGAAGAGAGGCTGTGAGTCAACACAGAGAGCTGTGTGTTGTGATTTCAAAGCAGAGAGCCAATGGGGGTTGGAGCAGTATGTTAGACTGGGAGGCAGGAGGGCTAACCCGAGGAAGGGGCGAGTGAGCCGAGATGTGCCCGAGAAGGAGCTGGCTATGCCGGGGTCTGGGGAGAGGCCGGGAAGCAGGACCAGGCACGACTTACGTCGATGGAGCAGCCCATGAGGGAGGACCGGTCGATGGCCTTCCGGAGCATCCTCAGCAGGTTCTTCGGGGGCCGCTGCAGCTGGAAGCTCTGGGTCACGCCCCCGGTGAAGTCCTCAAAGCCCTCCACCGTGTTGCCCCCCGCCAGCGCCTCGTAGGACCCGCTCAGCCTGTGGGCACGGAGAGGGCACCGTGGGCTCTGGGAGAGAGGGGCGAGCTCGGACACCAGAGGGTCAGGGGAGGGAAGGGAGGGACGCCCTGCCACCCCCCTCCCTGCCTTTCCCCTCGACTCCAGCTGCCCCGTCGCTGCCGAGGGCTGGGCAGGCTCGGAGCAGACCCCGTTCCCTGGCTCAGGGCACTCACTTGGCGTACGCCTTCTCCAGGAGGGCACTCCAGAACTCAGAGCGCTCGCCCGAGTGCACGAACAGCAGCTTGCCGTTCTTTGTGGGCAGCCGGTCATCCACCACCACGTCCACCCACTGCCCAAACTGCCAAATCTGTGGGCAGCAAGGGGGACCTCAGTGGGCCCTGAGGCACCTGGCTTCTGTCTGCCACCCCCTTCCACACACACACATTCTCTCTCTCTCTCTCTCTCTCTCTCTCTCTCTCTCTCTCTCTCTCTCTCTCTCTCTCTCTCTCTCTCTCTCTCTCTCGGGAACTGTTACACTAGCGCCTCCTGGTGGCCAGACCCAGTGATAGTCAAAGATCTGACTCCCCCAGAATGGCTGAATGGAGGCTGAATTTCATCACCAGCCTCATCGCTGGGTCCTGCCATGGCCTCCAGGGGTACCCATCCCCTCTTTTGATCTTGGCCGGATTTTAGGATTCCTGAGGTCTTAACTCTTAAAAATTCTTGAGATTCTCAGGTACATTTTTATCACAAGGTGAATTTATGCACATGTTGCTAAATTTGAAGAGCAATTGTGATGAGACTCCCAATATCATACATACCAGGTACACACATATGTGTATATGTATGTGTGTCGAGAGAGAAAGAGGGAGCGGGGGGAGAAACGTTGATGTGAGAAACGTCAATAGGCTGTCTTCTGCACATGCCCGGAACTGGGGTCAGGGTTCAAACCCGAAACCTAGCATAAGCCCTGACCAAACTGTTGACCTTTTGGCGAATGGAAGAATGCTCCACACTGGCCAAGCACAGATGTCATTTTTCAAAAAGAGAAGAAGAAAGGTGAACTTCAAAGCACATAGACCTTCTTTCTCTCCCTCCCTCCATACTTCCCCTCCACAGACACACCCCACAAAGCCGCTCTGCCTTTCCCCTCGCCCTTCACCTGAAAACGGAAGATGCCGGCATAGTTTTTCTTGAAGCTCTGCCCCTTGGGCACCACGCGGTACAGCAGTTTGGGGCACGTGGTAAGGGAGCCGATGGCAGCCAGCAGCCAGCAGTCCCCTGGGAAGAGAGGCGGGAGCTCCCTCAGAGCGCTCCCATTGTGTGGGGTCCAAGTCCGAGTCACGGAGGAGCAGGGGCTGGCTCTGTGGCCCCTTCCAGCCGGCCCTCCCGCTAAGGAAGCCAACCAGAAAGGGGTGGGGAGCAGGGCAGGAGGAACAGTCTCTATATGCAGGTACAGTAAGCTTCTCCACCTTTTCTTTGAGGTGGGGGAGTTAAAAAATTAGAGCCATGTGCTTCTGTTTTGGGGTTTGGGGAGGAGGTATTCTTGGCCTTGGTGTAGGCCTGCCTCTGGGACCCGCCTCCTTTGGGAAGAAAGCCAATCATCTCCCAGGGCCCCCACCTCTACCCCACAGTGCACTGGTGCAGCCAAGAGATGTCACCCGCATAGCATTGGAGACCCAAGGGGCTCAGCCTGTACCCCAGGTCCCTGGGGCTGGGTGTTGGGCGGTATGCCCGGGCTGAGGCCATCCATTGCCATCTGTCTCCTGGGACATCACACCCCCTGGGCGGGGTGGGGGACGGCAGGTGGTGCCCCACAGTGAGCACCTGGGCCAGGTGGAGGCTGAGGGTCTGGGACAGCGTCTGGGATGAGCCATAGCCTCCAGGCTGCGGAGGTGCCCGGGAGGGAGGCAGAGGGTGGGGCGGGAGGGAAGGACACATCCATCCTCCATCGCCAAAAGGGTTCTTCTCCAGTAGTCACGGCTGCTCCAGCCCACGGGGCCTGAGGTCTCCTTGGCCTGTGCCCTGCCCACATCCTGCCCTTCCCACAGCCACAGCTCGGAGGGAATTCAGCCCTGGAGGAAACCCGCCTGGCCTTCTCCCTGAAGATGCAGGATGGGTTTGGAGAAAACTGTGAAATGGGACCGTGTTTAGGGAGGAAAATCTCTCTTGGGACTGTGCGCAGGAGCTGATGGGAGAGGGGCTGAGGGGCCCACGCTTCTTTACCTGATAGGCCAGACTTGCAAGTTCTAGCACCAGCAGTGGCTTCAAGACATGCCTCATTCTTGACTCCCCCCGCCCCCCAGGAGGTGGAGCCTCCTCCCTCTGCCCCTGCAGTGTGGGCGGGACTCGGGGTGTGTGTGTGTGTGTGTGTGTGTGTGTGTGTGTGTGTGTGCTCCTGAGAATAGGTGGTAAGAAATCATAGCTTCCTCCTCATTCTCTCTCAGATCACTCACTCCGGAGAAGCTGGCTACCATCATGGAAGCCATCCGCCGGCCTGGTCCAACCTTCAGATGACAGCACCCCTGACTGGCCCAACCTTCAGATGACTGTGCCCCTGACTGGCAGGCTGACTGCAGCAGCCCCCCCCCCCCCCCCCGAGTACCCCACTGAGCTGTGCTGCTCCCGAGCTCCTGCCCCCAGAAACGGTCAGGTGACAGCACGTTTGTGGGCGTGGTAAGTCACTGAGCCGTGGGTGATTTATTGTGTCTTGGCCAATAGACAATATACCACCCCCCCAGCCTACACCCCAGCCCAGGGGCAGCGGGGAAGGTGGGATCCAGGGAGGGGGGAGTAGGAAGACCACCTGGCACTCTCACTACCATTTCCTCAGAAGGGGGGTGACAGGGAAACAGAAGGTGTTGTCTGAACCTAAGGGCTCCCCATTCCCCAACCTCAAAAGACACTTTGGGCCCAGCCAGCGTGGCTCAATGGTTGAGCATTGACCTATGAACCAGGAGGTCCTGGTTCGATTCCCAGTTGTGGGCTTGATCACCAGTAGGGGTAGTGCAGGAGGCAGCCCGTCAATGATTCTCTTTCATCATTGATGTTTCTCTCTCTCTCCCTATCCCTCTCTCTTCCCTCTGAAATCAATAAAAATATATATTTTTAAAAAGACGCTTTGGTACCTCCTAACTCCACGCTCCTCCCTCCCTAATCCATCCCCGCCTCCCAGGGAGACCAGCCTTCCCGCTCCCCACTCACCGAGCACCCCCTGGCAGATGTCCGTGGGGCTGACCCCGTTCAAAATGAAGTGAGGATTGCTTGTGATTTCCTGCGGTGAAGGAATAAAGGTGTCAGGGAGCCCAGGACACCCCCCTCTAACCTCCCTCCTGACTTTCCTGGGGAAGGGCCCCCACCTCCAAGGTCTGGGGGAAAACGTGGGTGGGGACAGGAGGGGACAGGACCCGCGTGGCACGCTGTAGGGTGTGACAGTGAAGGCTGGTGAGGACTCTCCTGGGGATTCCCGAGGGGTTTTGCTGAAGCCCTGATGGGGGTGGAGCCTCGTGCCAGGGCCAGCAGCGGGCTGAGGGGGGCTGGAGATGATCAGAGGGACAGGGCATCACTACGCTCCGCCCGCCCCCCGGAGCCCATGCCTCCCCTCCCAGTGCCCACACTGGGCCGCAGCCAGGAGATGTTCTGCACGTTTTTGGAGTTGGGGCCCAGGTCCTTGAAGCCCAGAGAAGTGGGCTCGGCAGGAAACACGGGGTCCTCGAACAGCACCCCCTTCCTCATACAGAACTCTCGCAGGTCCTCGTAGCTCTGGTTCCTGTAGTTCTGGGCGTTGTGGTGTTGGCCCATGCCGTTGGCCTTGAGTCTGTTGTGGCTGATGTGAGCCGCCATGCCCTTATCGATGAACATCGAATACACTTAATCATAAAAAGACAAATCGCCCCATCAGAAAAACGGACAATCTCGATAGATAGTCTTCGGAAGAAGATACATAAATGACCAATAATCACATGAAAAAAAAAAACAACAAAAACGCTCCACATCTTTAGTCACCAGACAAATGCCAATCAGTGATATGCCACCTCACACCCACGAGGATGGCTGTGAACAAAGACGGACAGTGACAAGTGTTGGCCAGCAGGTGGAGACATGGGAGTCCTCGTTCACTGCCGCTGGGAATGCAAACGGGTGCTGCCACTCTGGAAAACAGCCTAGAGGCTCCCCAGGCAAACACAGAAGCACCACGGGACCCAGCAATTTCACCTTTAGGTGCATGCATGCCCACGAGAAAGAGGAACACGCGTCCATTCAAAACCCTGCACACAAATGTTCCTGGCAGCAGTATTTACACCAGCCAAAAAGTAGGGGAAGAAAGCCCAAATGCCCATCAGCGGATGTATGGAATACACCTACAATGGACTATTTCTCACCATTTACTTTTCAACAGAAATAAATGAAGTACTGACACGTGCTACGGCGTGGATGGACCTTGGAACCGTGATGCTATGGGGAGAAAGCGTTCACAAAGATGGTATATTGTATGGTTCCAACAATTCAGAGTGCCCCGAATAGGCCAAATGGTTCCAACAATTCAGAGTGCCCCGAATAGAAAGTAGGTGAGGGGTTGCTGAAGACTTAGGAGGATGGAGGAAGGGTTGGGGGTTGATGGATAAAGGGTACGGGGCTTCTTCGGGGGGGGGGGCAGGGGATAGTGAAAATGTTCTAAAATTGATTGTGGTGATGTCTGTACAAAAATGTACGAAAAGCCATGACATTAGTGAGCTGTTGGCATGCGAATCATATTTCAATAAAGCTGTTGAAAACTTGATCCCAAGCCCTGGCTGGTGTGGCTCAGTGGATAGAGCATCAGCCTGTGAATTGAAAGGTCCGGGGTTCGATTCTAGTCAAGGGCATGTATCTCGGTTGTGGGCACATCCCATCAGTGGGGGGTGTGCAGGGGGCAGCTGAATCGATGTTTCTCTCTCATCGATGTTTCCAACTATCCTTCTCCCTTCCTCTCTGTAAAAAGCTGTTGAAAACATGACCCCCAGCCCTAGCCGGTGTGGCTCATTTGGTTGGGCATCTTCCCAAGCATTGAGAGCTCATGCCTAGGTTGGGGCTGGATCCCCAGTAGGGGGCGTGCAGGAGTCAGCCAATGGATGTTTCCCTCTCAGACATCGATGTCTCTCTCTCCCTCTCCTTCTATCTTCCTCTCTAAAAAAACCAAAAGAAAGTAAAAATGTTTTTTAAAGATGACCCCCCCCCCCCCCGAGCTTGCAGCTGACCCTGTTTCTGGAGGAGCTGGAAATAATGGCGGGTGGAGGGCAGGAGGGCAGAGGAAGAGGCTGCTTACAGGGAGGGGAGTCCAGTCGGGGGCTGTGGTGGCCGAGTCTCTGACTAGAAAGGTCAGGCTGGCTGACAGCTCCCAAGGCAGCCGCGGGGCTGGGGTCCGGGACCCCCTGCCTGCATGGCCTCCTGCAGAGGGATCGCAGCTGCTCGCCTCCCTTCCCGGGGACGGCCTCCCACAATACAGGGGACCGACAACCGCCGTCACCAGCAGCGGGCCCAGGACAAGAACCTGAGGGAGGAGGCAGAGGAGGGGAGACCACATTGCTGAGATCACTCTGAGTCTCCAGTCCCACCCTCTGGCCCCCGGGGTGGTCCTTCCGCTGGAATGAGGAGGCGCACAGGGAGAGGGAAGGAAGTTCTAAAGGAAACAGCCCAGCTGGGGCCAGCGTCTGAGAGAAATCTGAATGAGGAAGGGAGGGGGACGGCGGCAGAGAGGGCTGTCCAGAGGGGAGCCTGGGCCCACAGGGGGCCATGTCTCAGAGGCCAGAGCAGGGTCTCCCCTATTCGGCCTCCCTCGAGCTGACCCACAGGGAGAGCTGGCGCCGCAGAGCTGAGGGTCCTGAGCACCCGCTCTGGGCCGAGTACACGGGCCCTGAGGCAGGACCATGCAGACCCCCACTCCCCGGGAGAGGAGGCAGGAGCCCAGAGGTCAGGGAGCTTGCCCAAGGTCACAGAAGGAAGGTTGGGCCTGGGACTGAATCTGAGCGCAGCCCCCTGACCCCCCACTAGGCTCTGACCTTTGCCCTCACACCATCTCCTGGTGTCCTTAGTGGGTGTGTGTGTGTGTGTGTGTGTGTGTGGTGGCTGTGGAGCCAGAGCCGCCTTCCTCAGCTCAGGGGCTCGTGGGCCATGTGTGGCTGAACCGGTCTGATGCCCCTTCCTCTTCCCACCCAGCATCCAGTTCTCCCACCCCACCCCATGGCAGTGTCTCCCTGGGACTTCCTCCTCTTGTTGGCCTGACAAACCCAGACCCACTGCCTCTGTCCCCCAGCACCTCAGGCTCTGGCTGCCTTGTGCCCAGCTGCGTCGGACGTTTCCAGCTCTGTGCCTCTCTCTGCCTGGAATCCTTCCTGATCCAACACGCAGCCCTGTCCCCTGGGAAAAGTCCTGCCAGGCCTCCCAGCCCTTGCTCAACGCCACCCCGTCCGTGAAGCCGCCCTAGATATGCCCCTGCATTTCGGGGCCGCGTGAGTGTCCAACCCCTTTCCTTTGTGACACCCCTCGCTGCCCGCCGTCTCTGAGCCGATCTGTCTGTGAGGGGGGAGGTGGGGGCCCAAGGTCCACCTCGGGGTTCCCTGTCTCGTGCAGTGCCTGGCCTTTCCGGGGATGAGTGGATGAGTGGATGCCTCGCCTTGCACTGCAGTAACTTCTCATCTGTCTGCAAATATGCTCTCTCTCCTGCCCCGCCCCCCCCCGGCTCCCTGCCCGCTGCAGTCGCTGGTGGACTAGGTATTTTGTTCATGACTTGCCTCCCTTGCCAGAGTGCAAGCTCAGGAGGTCAGGGCGCTTTGTCTGCTTTGCTTGCTGCTGCCTGGAGCAGGTAGCAGAGACTCAGTACGTGTTGTGAATGCTGTTCTTTGGCAGCTCGTGGGAAGTGGGGAGGGTGTGCATCTTAACTCCTTCCCAGGAAGAGGCCCAGTGATGGGACAGGTGGCGTGTGGCTCACCCACGGGACCCTCCATCTTATCAGGGAGACGCTTCCAGAGCTGGTGCCCAGTCGATGGTGGGAGCTGCAGACTCCAGCCCAGCACTCCCATAGGCCATGCTCTGGCTTTGGTGAGGGCAGGGAGCAGAGGTCCTGCACAGTCCAAGGGCCTGGCTGGGGTCCCGGTGGGGTACCTGGGGCCTGGAGGCTCCGGGGCCCACTAAGGAGAGTTTACTGGCCGCCAGGATGAGAGTGGGTTTGCAGAAGAAGGACTTGGGGTCCTGTGTGGCCTCTGCTGCTTCCACAGAGCCTGTGGCTTGTGATGGCGAGATGTGAGGAATTCTCCCTCAGGACAGCAACGAGCTGTTTGTATTTTAACAATAACGGTTTATCATCTTTGAGGACCTGGACCGGGCGTGGCTTGGTTATCAACACGTTACATGCGTTGACTCTTTGAATCCTCACGGCACCCGTTTGGCTAGGTTTATTATTGTCTCCCCGCTACAGAGGGAGAAACCGAGGCACAGAGAGGTCGAACCCCCTCGAGGCCACACGCCTGGTGGGCAGCAGAGGCCGGGCTGCACCTGGCCAGGTGGGTCCTGCTCTCACCCAGCACACCTGCCCCTCTCCCGGGACGGAGGGGCAGACGCCGCTGTGTTGGAGAGAGGGCAGTGGCCCATCCTTCCTCCATCTTCCTCCAGCCTCTGGTGGAAGCCACGTCCCCTCAGCTGCGAGGGCGGGCGACAGGGATGGATAGGATGTTGGAGAAGGGGTTGGGGAGGGGGGGCAGCTGGTTCCTCTTCAGCAGCGCGGGTGCCCTGGGCTGCACTGCCCGGGGGGGGGGGCAGCTGTGTGACCTTGGGCAAGTGGCTTTACCTCTCTGGGCCTCGGTTTTTCTCATCTGTGTACAGAGGCTACTACAGCCTTCCTCGAAGGGTGTCTCAGGATTACATGAAGCGACGTACATGGAAGATCGGTGTTTGGTGGGTGCTCAGAAGACGCTCCTCGCCTTCTCCCACTGCCCTGGCTCGTCAGCTGGTACTGACTGAGCTCCTCCCGGGATCACATGGCTCCCACACACCCCGCTTCACAGGACTCATGGGTCACAGGAGAGCAGCACACGCACTCAGCACACTGGGCACGTCTGTGTGTTCGTCTGTCGCCGTCACCAGCTCCGAGCTCATCTCAGCCAGCCTTTGGGAATGTCTATCTGTCCTGGGCCCGGAGGGTCAGAGTGGACATCCCCACATGGACTCTGAGAAGGTCCCCCACCCCAGGCCTTCATGGGCCACAGAGCCAGGGAGCAGGGCCGGGGAGGAGGCCGCTCAGGCCCGGGGTAATCAGGGCGGTTCTGGGTGTGGCTGCTCCCCTCGCCTGCTCTGAGCTCACCGCTCCCCTGGGTGGAGGGCACAGGAGGTCCCAGCTCTGGGAGAGTCGGGGGAGGGGCCGGGCAGAGGGGGTGCAGCTCTTCCTCCTGCCCTTTGCCCCCCCCTCTTCCAGCCCAGCCCTCTGGGCATCTCTGAGAAACCGTCCAGGAGCCGAAACCGGTTTGGCTCAGTGGATAGAGCGTTGATCTGCGGACTGAAGGGGCCCAGGTTCGATTCCGGTCAAGGGCATGTGCCTTGGTTGTGGGCACATCCCCAGTAGGGGGTGTGCAGGAGGCAGCTGATTGATGATTCTCTCATCGATGTTTCTAACTCTCTATCCCTCTCTCTTCCTCTCTGTGAAAAATCAATAAAATATATTTAGAAAAAAAATCTCTCTTTGTAAAAAGAAGAAAAGAAATGGTTCAGGAAACTCTTTCCCTCCCACTCCCTCAGAAGGGGAGACAGGGGTGTGCTGGTGTGTCTGTGGAATGTGTGTGCATGTTTCTGCGGAGCGTGTGTCTATGAGTATGACTGTGTGTGAAGTGTGTGTGTAAAGTGCGACTGTGTCTATGAAGTGTGAGTGTGTCTGAAGTGTGAGTGTGTGTATCTGTGAGGTGTGACTGTGTGTGAAGTGTAAGAGTGTGAAGAGTGTATGGGTGCCTGTGAAGTGTGTCTGTGAACTATGAGTGTGTGTCTGTGAAGTGTGTGTGCCTGTGATGTGTTAGTGTGTCTATGAAATGTGAGTGTATGTATCTGTGAAGTGTGTTTGTCTATGAAGTGTGTGTGTATGTCTGTGAAGTGTAAGTGTGTCTGTGAAGCATGTCTGTGAAGTGAGTGTGTTTGTGAAGTGAATGTGTGTGTTTGTGAAGTGAATGTGTGTGTCTGTGGAGTGTGAGTGTATGTGTCTGTGGAGTGTGTGTGTGTCTGTGAAGTGTGTGTGAGTGTAAGTGTCTGTGAAGTGGAAGTGTGTGTGTGTGTGAAGTGTGTCTGTGAAATGTGTCTGTGAAATGTGTGTGAGGTGTGTGTGTGTCTATGAAGTGTGTGTGAGGTCTGAGTGTGTATGTCTGTGGAATGTGTGTGTCTGTGAAGTGTGTCTATGAAGCGTGAGAGTGTGAGTGTGTGTGTATATTGGGGGACAAGTGGCTCACTCTTTTTTTTAAATTAAAAAAAATATTTTATTAATTTTTCACAGAGATGAAGGAAGAGGGATAGAGAGCCAGAAACATCGATGAGAGAGAAACATCGACCAGCTGCCTCCTGCATACCCCCCAAACAGGGACGTGCCCGCAACCAATGCAAATGCCCTCGACCGGAATCGAACCTGGGACCCCTCAGTCTGCAGACCGACGTTGCATCCACTGAGCCAAACCGGCTTCGACAAATGGCTCACTCTTTGCAAAGGAGCCAGGGGAAGGCTGTGAAATGTGTCTATGAAGTGTGAGTGTGTGAGGTATGTGTGTGTGTGTGTGGTATGTGTGTGTGTGTGTGTGTGTGTGTGTGTGTGGTGTGTGTGTGTGTGAGGTGTGTGTGTGTTTGTGTGTGTGTTTGTGTGTGTGTGTGAGTGTGTGTGAGGTGTGTGTGTGTGAGGTATGTGTGTGAGGTGTGTGTGTGTGTGTGAGGTGTGTGTGTGTGTGGTGTGTGGTGTATGTGTGTGTGTGTGTGTGAGGTGTGTGTGTGTGTGTGGCATGTGTGTGTGAGGTGTGTATGTGTGTGTGTGTGAGCTGTGTGTGTGTGAGCTGTGTGTGTGTGTGTGTGTGAGCTGTGTGTGTGTGAGCTGTGTGTGTGTGTGTGTGAGGTGTGTGTGTGTGAGATGTGTGTGTGTGTGTGTGAGGTGTGTGTGTGTGTGTGTGTGTGTGTGAGGTGTGTGTGTGTGAGGTGTGTGTGTGTGTGTGTGTATGAGGTGTGTGTGTGTGTGTGTGTGTGTGTGTGGCACACGTGGCTCACTCTTTGTGAAGGAGCTGGGGGAAGGCTGTGCAGGGGGACTGCAGGGCCCTTTCGGAGAGGAGGGTCGGAGGCGGTGGAGGACCCGGAGGACGAGCATGGAGAACCTGTCTGTTTCGTTGTCTGGCCCTCATCGCAGGGCCGGCAGGGCAGGAATGACTCCTCCTCAGGCCCGGAGCCTCCCAGGGCCGCCCAGAGAAGTCAGGTGGGTCAGTGGTTATCACTGGGGATGATCATGCCCCTAGGGAATGCTGGGAATGTGTCAGGGCGTTTTCGGTTGGCATAGCTGGGGAGCGGGGTGGGGTGCTCCTGGCATCCTGTGGGCAGAGGCCACGGCTGCTGCTAACCATCCTGCGGTGCCCGGGACAGCCCTGTGACTGATCCTGCACACAGGTCAGGAGGGCGAGGCTGGGAACCTGGGGTATGTGAACGGCGAAGGGCACCCACATGTAAGGCGAGCTGCTCTGTGCCCGGCTGTCCCTGGACTGTGTGGCCTCCCGGGGGCCTGGAGGACCCTGAAGGTGCTGGTGCCAAGGGAACATCGGAGGGCGGACGAGGCGATGACGGATACAGCTCTCTTCCCTCATCTCCCTGGAGGCCTCCACCCCGCAGCTCCCAGCTCAGCATTGCTCACCTCCCTCATGCAAAGCTTGCTTACATCCTGGACACCTAGTCCCAGGGGCTGAGCCCATCACTCAGCCTGCTGGCAGGGAGGACACACACACACACACACACACACACACACACACACATGCACACACAAACTCCACCCCAGTTATCCACAAACTCTCCCCAGAGAGGCACAGGCCCGAGCCCTGTTAGGTGGGGGCATGGCCAGCTGAGACAGACAGACAAGGCCGGGTCTGGGAAAGACAGGCAGATGGCAGAGCATGAGCAGCCAGGAAGCCTTCTGTTCCCGTTCATGTCCTGTCCCCCCTCAGACTGGGTGTCATCTCAGAGTGGGGGCGGGCTGTCCCCCATCAGACAGGACAGCTGAGGACCCATAGCTGGGAGCAATGAAGACAGTGACTGGATTCCCAGTTAGGAGCCTCTAAAGAGCCAGGTCTGGGCTGAAGTCTGCTTCTGGGGCCCGGCCTGCACTCCCAGGAGCCGGGAGGCTGGGTCCAGGGTGTCTCCCAGGCTGGCTCAGGGGCAGGGCTGAGCCAGCACTGGCCACTTACCTCCCACCCGCAGAACAACCCAGCTGTGCCGGCCCCTTCCTCTCCCCACTGCGGTCTGCTCTGCGCCCCGAGAACCCAGCCCCCACCCGCACCCCCAGCCCTGAGGCCTGGTGCCCGGCTGCCTGTGGGCCCGGCCTCCGAGGCCCCAGCCTCTGCACCGAGGGCCTGCTTTCCAGGCCGAGGGAGTTCTCTCTGCTCCCCGAGCTTTATTTCTGTCGCTGGGGTTCCCTCACACAAGCCTTGTCCCCAGGCAGCTGTGACGGTGGTGAGCAGTCCCCCCGCCTCGCCCCAACTTCAGCCTCTCAGCGGGGACCAGGAGAGAGCTCCGGTGTCTGAACCACAGCCTGTTCTCTCTTGGGGACACAGCCCCTTTCCGGGGGTTTGGTCTGCAGGGCACAGGCCTGGGACGTATCTGAGCCTACCTGTGGAGTACAGCATTTTGGTGGCTGGTCTGGTGCTGACAGTTGAAGGTTCTGGGGGGAGGGGCGGAGGACTCCACCCCCGCCCAGAAGGCTCCAATTGCAGGGGGTTCCTAGGTCGCTGGCTCCTTTTAACAGCTGCCTTTCCCCTCTCATCCCCCAGGGGGCGCTCTGAGACCCTCTCCCCACAGGGTTGGAAGACTCAGCACCCACCCCAGGGGGCCTTCACCGGGTGGGCTGTCCTCAAGTCCAGGGTGGGTGGGGCAAAAATAGGCTTACAGTTGTTCCTATGGAAAATGACAACAGTAGCCCTAACCGGTTTGGCTCAATGGATAAAGCGTCTGCCTGCAGACTGAGGGGTCCCAGGTTCAATTCCCGTCAAGGGCATGTATCTTGGTTGCGGGCACATCCCCAGTAGGGAGTGTGTAAGAGGCAGCTGAATCGATGTTTCTAGCTCTCTATCCCTCTCCTTTCCTCTCTGGAAAAAAAAAAAATCAGCAAAATATATTTAAAAAGAAAGAAAATGGTACAGTAATTAACAAGTAATAATACAAAAATAAACTCTGCTTTGCAGACTTGTAACTGTAAACCTACTTTTGCCCCACCCTGTGTATTCAATCAGGTCAAGTCCTGGTCCGCCTCCTTCAGCCCAGGGCTTGTCCCCGACACCCCAGCCCGACTTCTATCCTGAAACCTCCTCATTCCCAAAAGCCGCTTTGCTGCAGACCCAGTGTTCCCCACCCCCTGTCTGTCTGTCTCCTCATAGACGCTAGCTGTATAGGATGCGGGCCCCCTACCCGGCATGACCAAATGGTAACTCGTCCCTTCTGCAACAACCCTATTTCCGAATACGGGCACGTGCGGAGGTCCTGAGGGACACAGCTCCACCCTTGACCTCTCCTCGGCCTGGTGAGCCCGCTGGCCTGACTGTCAGGTCTCTCCCTGGGAAGAGGGACTCTGGTGGGGAGTGGTGCCCGGTGCACAGTTTCTAGCACAGAAGGCAGGGCCGTTGAGGACAGGCGCTGCCGAGGTTGCCTGGTGCTCCTCGGCCCTGCTGGGCGGTGCATGGCGCACAGGGACCCAGAGCCTTGTTGCAAGTGGACCACGGGCAAGCCCTCTCTGCCTCCCTTTCTAGGTCTCCATGTCCTCATCTGTAAGAACATAAATTATAGTTTACTAAATTCCTTGTGTGGCAAACACTGGACTAAGTTTTATTACAGTATCTTGTTATAATTGTCCTATCTTTACCTTTAGTTATAACAATAGCTTTCTAGGCCTAATTCATAAGTTAGACTTTATTATGTATTGGAAAACACAGACTAAGAACTCTTCGCTTCTTGAATCCTAAAACAGCTCAAGGACATGGTTTCACGATTCCCACTTTATCGACGAAGAAAGTGAGGTCCAGAGGCGACACATGTATTGGGTCTCTGCCCAGGTTCCTGACACAGAGCTCCACCATCCCTTGGAGGTTCCTGAGGGATAGGAGCACCTTTTGTTTAATGAGGCGACTCTTGGGGTCTTCTTGATGGCCTCCAGGTGGGGCTGTCACCAGAAGGTCTAAGCCATGAACTTTCAGCTCACCCTCCTCCTCCAGGGAGGTCAGGGGTCCGGGGATTCAGTTAACAATCCATCATGTTTAGACACAAGATGGAAGGAAGACGAAGCATCCCATGAACAGTAGGAACGTACAGGAAGAAGAAGTGGAGGCACTAGAGAAGGGAGCTACACCCAGCACCTGATTCCTCCCCTTGCCTATGATGCAGACCAGGCATTTCCAACTGCTGTGCCACAGAGTTTTAAAACATGCAATATCTGACTACCCAGTCAGGGGCACTGGCCTCTTCTCCCTTAGACTGTAAAAAAATATGGCAACAGCCAGCACCACAATAGCTGTCCTGTGTGAATGAATAAAAATCACACCTATTTTTATTGTCAGGTTGGCAAAAAACCTTATGTATTTTTTTTTTTGTGTGCCACAGAATTTTAGTAGCTCGTTTATGTGCCATGCGTTGAAAAAGACTGAACATTGCTGATTAGCGGCCGTTGTCGTTATCAGAGAAAGAGAGGTAAAACGTACTACATTTACGTTAAGTTTTATTACGTATCTTGTTATAATTGTCCTTCAGTTATTGTTGTTGTTTTTTTTTTTTGGTTGTTTTTTTTTACCTTCAGTTATTGTTGTTAATCTCTTTCTGGGCCTAATTCATAAATTAGACTTTTTATGCATCGGGAAACACAGACTACATAGGGCTCAGGACAGTCTGCAGTCCCAGGCACCCCCTGGGGCCGTGGCCATGTCCCCCATGGACAGGGGACGGCCGTAGTGGAATACAGGGCATACGTTACAACGCTGTTGTCACCAGGAACCAATACTTCCATTGTAAGAGAAAGAGACACAAAACATCAAAGAAACAAGAGAAATCTACCTTGCCTCTGTGATGAGACCTTCCAAGTACCGGGTTCAGAGAGCATCTGGGAGACACATCCACATGCTGTCCCAACCCCACAGGGACAGAAGCTCTGGGGTCCCTTCTGGGCCTCCCCCGGTGTCCTTCCTCGTCTGGCTCTCCCCTTGTACCCTGGACCATGTCCTTCTATAACACACGGCCGCATCTAGCAAATTACGGAATCTGAGAGTTCTCCTCTATGACAGCCTCCCATCTCGGGCAGGACTCTCCAAGCACCTTCGTTCTGTCGGCTCTCGGGGCCTTACCTGGAGTTTCACGTCGGAAACCCTTGAACTTAGCCTTCAGTCTGCAGGGTCACATGTTTGATTCTGGTCCAGGGCATATGCCTGTGTTGCGGGCTCCATCCCCAGTAGGGGGCATGCAAGAGGCAGCCAATCAATGGTCCTCTCTCAGTAGAGCCTTTAGGGCGGGGTTCGGGGAGACCCTCTCCCAAGAAGGGAAGGCACGCTGAGCAGCAAGGAAGCAAGGGGTCTAGGCTGACCAGAACCCGGGCTGAGGTCTGTCCAGGCCAGGCTGTGCAGAGAGACAATGGGGCTTGGCAGGCGGGCGACGGTGATATGTCTGCCCTCCTGTATGGATACAGCCTTCAGGAGCCCCGAGGGGCCTTCATGCGCCAACATGCTGCTTCTTTAAGCCTGCCCACTGGCTGGCACTGTGCTCCCCCGCCCTGGCCTGGCAACTCCGGCACCCAGGATGTTGGGACTCATTTCACAGACCTGCAGATCTGACTTGCACCAGAAGGCCGAGCCCGGCCTGCATCTCCACTGTGCTTGGCCCACGCTTGCCCACAGCCAGTCAGCAGGACATACTGGCCCTCCAAGCAGTTCCTTGTGTGGTGGCTTCTCTCACCCCAGGCACTGTTTGCTTCCTGTCCCTTGCCCGCTCCTGGGTGATTGGGCTTTCTACTGTCTAACATCCCCCTCTCCCCCCGCCCCGCCCCCACTTACTGTCTCTCGTAGACAATCTGCAGGCCTTGGCAGACTATTCCCTCTCCTCCTCCTCAGAGCTCGCTGCTCCCCTGGGAGTGCCTGGATCACTTTCTCCTTTTGTGGGTCTTGCTGGTAGGTGTGTGGGGGGGCTAAGAAGATGCCAGGAAAGGGGGTGACCACAAGATTCTGTGGGCCACTGAAGGGTGGGCTACAGCAGTCACAGGAAATTTGTGTTTTAAAAAATATATCTTTATTGATTTCAGAGAGGAAAGGAGAGGGAGACAGAAATATCAATGAAGAGCCCTAGCTGGCTTGGCTCCATGGGTAGAGCGTCGGCCTGCCGACTGAGGGGTCACGTTTGATTCTGGTCCAGGGCATATGCCTGTGTTGCGGGCTCCATCCCCAGTAGGGGGCATGCAAGAGGCAGCCAATCAATGGTCCTCTCTCATCATTGATGTTTTTCTCTCTCTCTCCTGCTCTGAGATAAAAAAAATTTTTTTAAAAGAGAAACATCAATGAAGAGAACCAGCTGCCTCCTGCACATCCCCTACTGGGGATTGAGCCTGCAACCTGGGCATATGCCCTTGCCTGGGATTGAACCCGGGCCCTTGAGTAAACAGGCCAACGCTCTATCCACTGAGCCAAGCCGGCTGGGGCTATGGGAAATTCCTTAGAGAAGGTGCACTTAAGCTGGGCTTAGAGGATGAGTAAGATCTGATGGAGGGCGGGAGGGGGCTCTTAGGCGAGGGCCTTGAACACTTTTGAGGGTTCAGGGACGGATGGGCTGGGCCAGTTTCCTGAGAGTCAGCAGGACCTTTCAAAATCTGCATCCCCCCCCAGGCCGGTTTGACCTCGGGCCACCCCAAGTCCTCCCTGGGCCTGTGTCTTCCCCCACAGCAAGGGGACAGCCGCACAACTCTGTGCGCCACTTTGCAGGTGCGATTCATGATCATGGCATTAACCGTAATTGATGTTTACTGGGTGCTTATCAAGTGCCAGGGGCTGGGCCAAGGGAACCCTTGACATAGATTACCTTATGTAATCCGGCAGCAAACCCACGCCCGACTCGAGCCAGGTTTCTGAGTGAATGCTTTACAGCACGCCATGGCCATTCAGCACAATCCCAGGCACATGCTAACAACTCGGTATGTTGCGTAACAGTGACAACAAATCACGCCGACAGAATTCGGTTGACGACTGCAGCGCAGTTTTCTTGCCTCTCCCTCTCCAGCGCAGCCTGCTGAGCCCCTTCCTCCAAGCAGCTTTCTTGGGACTTTCCTCCTCCAGGAAGCCTTCCCAGACCAGCACGGCACTTGCAGCCTCTCTACCCTGCCTCTCTACTCTACTGGTGCGGTCCTCGGGGACTCAGAATGTTGGTCCGTGTCCCTGCCCCTCAGTCTGAGTGGGGGTCCCACAGGTTCCTCAGGGCAAGGGATGGAGGCAGAGGGGGCAGAGGCAAGGGGATGGGGGGGGCAATGTTAGCACAGCAGGCCCCTCCCCCGAAGTCCCCAGAAGTCTCTGCACAGGAAGTCTACCCAGGGTCATGTGGGGACTCCACACAGAACCTCCAGACCTCCAGACTCACGGAGGGTGGCGGCTGGACCCCAGCCATGTGTCCA